TATATATATATATATATATATATATATGTATTATGTATGTATGTATGGATATATATATCCATACATACATACATATATAATATATATATATATACCATATATATATATATATTAATATATATATATATATATATATATATGTATGTATGTATATTATTTTTCTTTCATTAGGCCTATTATTCTCGAAAAACAAAAATGTAAGAAAGTACCAGTCAGTCTGTTATGTACCTAATTTATGTTACAAAAATGTGATCTTTTCAAAAGTGTATTAAAGTAGTGGGGGCGCTATTGCACTTTACAGCCTAGCAACATGACGTCACTTAAACGCACTGCTGTATTGATCGCCAGAGGTGTTGGCAACAGTCTAGGTTGTTGAAGCCTGTTTGTTGATTAAGGCCTTTGTAGAATTCTTGTACACGTAAACTATCTGTTATATTGTCATATCGAAAGAACATTCTTTTGAGTTGATATTCGTTGTCATTTACGTGGAGAATATCAACCATGTTAGCTACTCAAAAACCCAGAAAAACTCGAGAGTTCACAGGCCCAACACCACACTCAGTTGCCATCGTAAGTATCGCCATCGGCCCTATTCACCTAGGCTAGGCCTCCTACTACTACTACTCTGGCCTATGCCTAGTGGTGTAGTCTCTAGGCTTAGTCTGTAAAGAATACTCGGCGTGACGATTGTGATGAATTATGATAACCATTGGAGCTAGCCAAGGCATAGCCCACAGTTAGCTGTGTTGGCTAGGCCTCTAGAGTCTCAGTCTAGGCCTAGTAGTAGTAGTAGGCTTGCATAACTAGGCCTAGCCTAGGCCCTAGGCCTAGCCCAGTTCTAATCTAGGCCTACACTAGGCCTCCTCCTAGCTAGGGCCTAGCTAGGCCAGTGGTGGTGGAATTAATTTCATCATTTTATTAATTTAGACCTAGCCTATGTCCGTATAGGCTAGGCCACGCCAAAATTGGTCCAGGCCAAAATATGTCCGGTGGACAGATTTTGGACGCCAAACTTTTGTTTGGCCGCTAAAATCTGTCCACCGGGTCGCTTTTAGAGGCTAAAATCGGTTCCCCTTGGATAAATTTGTAATGCGTCTTCTGCTGCCCGTAGGTAGGGTATGATTGTTTCTCCCTTGGATTGGAGGGAAGTAATGTAGGCCGGCGTAGAGTCGTTTCGGCCCTGAGTCGATTTGGCCTGGGTCGATTCGGCCCCAATTTTGTATTTTTGTCATGCATTACGGCCGCGGTGTATGGAGTGCCGAAGGTGTGGCAACAAATAATAATTTGATGGAACAAGTTGGCTAAGCAACATACCGTTTGTTAAACATGAAACTTAGGCTATATTACTGCAACATTATCAGATACAGTATTAATAAAGAGTTCATTGCAGTATCAAATGGAGTTACCTTACCTCTTTTTACAACGCAAATGTTAAGTTGATTGGTTTGGAGACACGTTTCTTTTTATCGTTTCCATACGATATATATTTGGATCATATTTATAAATGCTTCAATAAAATTTAGATTTATAAAATAAGTAGGCTTATAGTTAATTTAGCAGATTAGTTTGTCATAATTTTTTGTTTGTTTGTTTGTTTGTTGCATCTCCATTTACATTACCAAATGTTCTATTTATAACAATACAGGCCTATATAAATAAATTAAAGTATACGGAATAATGTGATAATGAAAATAAAGCAAATATATTATTGTATTCACAAGGCCGACAAAATCACTCATTGCGTAGAAATTAACTAAAGAAATAATTTGAGAAAAGAAACATTTTCAACAATTATGTTGAGGTGAAGCAGACACATGGTTTGTATCTTCTTGTTTGTTGTATTTCCATTATCGATACATATTTTGATTAGGCATGTTTATAAAATACACGAATAAATTGAAATAGTCAAATGTAGTTTAAATAAAATTTATAAGCCTACAATGTTAGTGGCTGTTTCAGGCTTCTTTTGATATTAAGTAAGCCGGAAATTTCACTCACAATACCTATTGTTGCATGGAAACTATCTATAAAAATTGGAAAGTAACGTCTACACAAACAGGTTTCCACTGTACTCTTTAGTGTGTAGCAGACATCCTTTGTACACCGCCTTCAGGAATGTGTGGGCGCACTACTGCAAAGAGTGAAGTAGGTCAGATAATAAAATTAGACTGGCTATTTTTAGGTGCAAACACATGCCATGGCAGTGAATGTGTACACGTGTGTTCACCTCTCGTCTATGGTTCCGATAAAAAAAAAAAAAAAAATATTCAACTTTGTTTAAGCTTTAATATTTCATTTACCGTATATGGACAGGGCCCCTGCCAGCAGGAGCGGATCCAAAAATGTCCACAGGGGAACCGAAAATGGGGCCGATCGAAATAACACCGCACTAAGGGGAGGTCCGCGAAATATTTGTTTTATAGACAGACGCTCGAATGTAACCTCTGAGGCATTTTGGGCGATAAATTTTTTCCCCTATTTTAACTTCCTCAAAGGGTGATGGGACTGAGGACGCCCCCAGCGCTGTGTAGGCTCGATCTCCATTTGACATATCTGGATCCGCCCCCGGTGGACCCATATTTGCGATTTGGATTAGGATGACGTACTGTTGTCTTTGTAAATTCTAAAATGATGACGATAATGATGAAATATTGTTTGAAGGTTTGCATGTTGAAGTAGTTGACGGTACAACGTAGATAGGCCTAGTTCTGAAAAGATTTTTTTTTTTTAGAATGTCTCATATGTTTGTTGATAAAAGAAATTAATAGCTGCGAAAACAAACATGAAATTCAGATATATTTGTTTTAACAATTAAAATAACACAACAAAACACAAAAGCCTTTATTTTCAAGGATCATTTAGAAATTGATAATATAATTCTACTGTCTTGTACACTTGACTTTTCACTACTGGGAACTGCAAGGAAAAAGAACATTGTTTTTGAATAACCACATACTGTAAAATTATACTCATACTAATTAAAATTTCTGAAACAATAACAATTGTAAAACTTAAATAATAATCATACTGAAAAATCCAAAAAAAGAAAAAGTATTATGTATAGTCAAGGTTCGTAAAAAAGACAATAAATCATACTAAAATGCACAAAAAAAAGCTCTTTAAAAATACAGAACCCAAATAGACCGTGTTAGTACTTGGCGCTCCATGATACCGCGGCTGTTAATTGCAATCGAAATGCTTACAAACAATAGGGCGCGACCACTTCTAGCCCGGGTTGTTTCGGCCCAGGGCCGAAACGACCCGGAACCATGTAGGCCTAGGCCTATGCTTCTCCCACACTTGAAAAATCTTTTGCAGTATCACTGACAGAATGATTCGTTTTGAGCTTTTGTGGACATGTTTTTTTCAAAACACATGATAATGCATTTATCAGGCCTAGGCCACACACAGCATGCATCATTTTTGGTGGCTAAGGTTTGGACCTAAAATGAAACACAAGACTGATTTATTGGTTTAGTACGACCCCACCTCGAATTTGCAATTCAGGCATGGTCTCCATATTTTAAAAAAGATATTATTTTATTAGAAAAATTCAGAGACGTGCAACCAGATTACCACCTAGTTTGCGTGGCAAGACTTATGAGGAAAGATTAAGTGCTTTTAAAATGACATCATTGGAAGATAGGCAACTTAGATGGGATATGATTGAAACATAAAATTTTAACAAATAAAGTAAATATTGATAGTGAATTATTTTTTAGTAAATCAGAATTTAGCACCACTAGGGGTCATGAACACAAACTGAAAAAGAAATATGTTCGATTAAATTACCGAAAGTATTTTTTTACTTAACGGATTATTAATACATGGAATGCTCTCCCTGCCAGTACGGTTGAAATTGAGCTAGTACAGTATCAGAATTTAAACGACAGTTTGAGAAGACAACAGAGGCTACCAGAAGGCCACTACTGGCCTGCCAGCCTCTTGCACCACTCATTTTAAGTGGTGTACGGTGAGTTACATGAAAATAAAGGGGTCAATAATTTCTTTGAAATGATTGCTCTTGTATTTCGTCGTGGCATTAAGCAAGCACACAACCATAACAAAACAAGGTAAAAAATAGACTAGTGCGGACCAACCCGCTTACCATCATATTGTTTAACTTCTTTTCTAGCGTTTGCACCAAAGAGTTTACTGGGCCTGAAGAGCGAAAATAACATACAATTTTTGTGGTTGTATACTCAATTAATTGCACACATAATGAATAAAAAAATATTATATAATAAGAGATAAGATATTTATCTATCATTTGATTAATGAACAAAACTAAAAAAATACAGGTTATAGCTGCACTGTGCCACAACAGGACCCCCGGAGGCATAGTCCACATTTCTAATTTCTAAGTTGAATGAGGACAATAACGAATTATTAATTTTTTATTATTAAAAATGAATAAAATATCAGAGACAGACTAATATAATATATGGCCTGTACAGGGAATATATCCTCCATGCAAAACTGTTTGGACAACAAAAATCTGTCAATTGCATTTACTTCCATTTTCTTCCTTCCATAAAGGAGCTTTACTGTCTAGGCTAGACATGCCATAATGTCACCAATGTCACTGGTTATTTGAAAATGATTTTCTAAGATATAATTATTCTTCTCAGAGAGCAAAATTCCCCAGCAAACGCCCTCCAGATCACCTAATTCTTGAAAGAAGACGTAAAGATGATTTAAGGGAGGAGGCAGAGTCCATCACCAGGTATAACAAGCTGTGTGACATGAAAAATGACTGGGAGAAGATTACGGACGTACGAATTCAAAAAAACACAGTGAAGGGCCGGGTGAACAATCTACTTCAACAGCAAGAGTTTAAATTAGAAGACAGAAGGGAAAGGTAAGACTAACTGCATTAAAGTTAACATCTATTCATTTATGATTGTGATAAAGAAACCTATATTTTTTATTCCTCCTATGGTGGAAGAGCACAGTAAATATTTCCTATGGTTTCTCACTTGTATGCTGGAGGGCTGAAATACATTTGTTTCTATTGCAATGTTTTCAACAAGATGAAGGTGGTAACTTAACAAAAGGAGATGAAGTATTCAAATTTTAGAAAATACATTATTTTTTATGGAAATTGCAAATGTGGCAAAGACAAGCCAAATCAGTCACTCGTCGCAAAAACCGATCTTGAGTTATTAATACAGTGTTAGAGAGTAAAATAATAGCTATAAAATGGTAAAATAATCATTCAAATCGGACATTTCATGAAGTTACAAGCATTTAACCACACAGCTGTTTAAAGAATAATATATGAGAAATCAGCCTTCAAAGTTTATGATTTTTCTCATGCAGAAACTATCTTTAAATCCTTAAAAAGTGTTGTTTTAACATTGAAAAGGGGGAAAATAACAGCATAGGATGGTGTGTAGATATATAAAGGTTAGTTTAGTGCAATAAAATAGATTTTTAAAAATTTGACGTTTTAGCATGTTTTGGCCATTTTCTCTGAAACACGATTTGCGACAAGTGACTGGTTTGGCTTGTCTTTGCCACAAATAGATTTACAACCTGAAAAAAATAATTAAATTTCGAAGTTATGTTTCTCTCCTCCTCTTGCCAATATACATTTGCTTCTTGACCAGTAATTGCAAGTACTGTATCAGCTTTGTATGTTTACTATTTCATCCTGTTTACCATAGATTAAGAGAACTACTAGCTACTGAGGAACGGCAGTACATTGCTGAAATGGAGGCCAGCCAGGAAACAATATTGGAACGTCAAGCCAAGATGAGAACAAGAGCAAAGTTTCTAAAGGAAAAGAGGGAAACTGAAAGACTTCAAGTTGTAGCTGAGAAGCTAGATCAAAGATGGAGGTATAATAACCTCAATTAAATTGATTTGTTCTTAATAAATTTCTAAGTTTCCACATACAATCTCATAAGTTGTTAGTCATTTAGAGTATTGTCTCTAAACCCAAAACATTCTTTACTAATTTTTTAAACCATTTTCCATAAATTTTCAGGGAGGAATGTGAAGAGCTTAGAGCAACACTCTCAAGACGTCACATGGATGAGGTATGCACAGAACGTTTTGCACAACTTCGCATGAAAGACGAGATGCACATGCAGAAGCTTGAAGAAGATAAGATGTATGCAGACCTCTGGGAACAAGACCGCTTGTCCAAGGCAGCACGAGAGGAGAAGGAGTCTCAAGAACAACATGAAAGAAATAGGGATATGGTGGAAACACTACAGAAACAAAAGGCTGCTCTTGAGGCGCAGAAAGAAGAGGAAAAAAGATTGAAGGAGGAAGAAGGAAGACTTTTGGTATGTAACTTTTGCAAGATGATAATAATGATGATGATGATAATTTATATATGTAACTACCAATTTTTATAGAATATAATATCAAGCAATTAATATACAGTACCATAATAGATAAGCAAAATTGCACAAATAATCAATTAGTGCATGCAATGAAAAATTAGCTGAGGGCCTGCAGGGCAATTCGTAAATTGATTTTCTATACTCAATTATAGCGACTTTGTATTATCAGTACCTTGATCATACAACAATATATTATTTGGCATTTTGTGTTTTTTTTTTAGAGAATTCAAATATTCATTGCATGGTGTAAAAACCCCTAAATAATCAGCTAAAATTATAAAATAATGTTCTTGAAATGACAAAAATTATCGTTATACTCCTTTGGGGGCAGAAGGGATCTCAGAAAAGTGTAGTTTTGTACATTAACAAGTGAATAAAACAACTAGATGGTCACATAGATGGTCTGTGAATAATACGGTAATGTAAATGATGATACCACAACCAAATGAGGATGACATAATACTTACCTTTGATTTTATTCTGTAGACTGAAGAAAGAGAACTCCGCAGACTGGAAGAAGAAGAAGCTCTTCGTGAGAAGCGTAGACGCCAAGCGGAAACTAGGCAAGTACTCAGTACGTCCATCAAACTAAAGATGAAGAAGAAAGCACGAGAATTGCAAGAAGAATTAGCGCTTGATATGAAGATCCTTGAGAAACTCCTGGAGGACACTCGCAATGAAGCACTTGAAGTTGCTCAGAGAAAAGTGAGTTGAAATAGTGCCCTCTAGTGGTAGGAATTTACACTTGGATAAATTGCTTCTGCAATACTTTTAATGGAATGGAACTTACAATTTACAACTAACTAATTAAAATAAGGCCAGAAATATATGCATGCCCCACAAACGTATGCACATTCAAGCTGTCAATATCATTGCTATTTAATGTACAATTTAATTTCCAATTTCGTTGTTTTTGTTATTTTGTTCTTGGTGTTTAGAATTTTTATTGCGTTTTTCATGTTTTGGGGTAGCTGACTCTTGAGTTATAGTAATTGGTTTGCTTTAGCTGTACCTGATCATTGTTTTGTTGTATTTTGTTATAATTGTGCTTTTTAGCTCCGATGAGTTAGCTCCCGAAACACTCGGCTGATTATTTAATAGATCTTTTTTGTATGGGCGGCTGTTAGGGCCAATGTACTCTACTGCCTCTATTATACTGCCCTCATTGGAGCTTTCAGGATTACGAGAACTTGTTTAGTGTTTATATGATCAAATAAATGAAAGAATAAATTGTTTATCTATCTCTAATTACTGATTCTATACTCATTTATTTTACTTCTTAGAATTCCTCTGTCTTACATGCATAGGTTTTTTTACTAGAACTGATTTTTGAGATAGATAAGTAAAAAATTGAAATAAAACTAATTAATTATTAGTGTAAAAAATGTGCTGGTATTGCTGATGTAACATTGTAACCATCAGTTATGCTAATTAAATTGTATGTAATTAAAAATTACATCTACATTTCTCTACTAAGAAATTAAAAGACTAAAACTCTTTCACTACATACCATGAATTGACATTCTAATTAAATAATAAATATGTATAATTCCTTGTGATAAACCAAATATTACTCACTTTTTTTTGTTGTTGACAGTTTCGCCTGGCTATAAGACAGGCTTCTGAAACTGTCAACAACAAAAAACAGTGAGTAATATTTGGTTTATCACAAGGAATTAAACATATTTATTGCTATTTGAAACCAGATGAAACTATTTACCCATTTAATTAAATAATATCAAAAACAAGTAAACAAAATATGTGAAAAACTCAATAAAAATTACTTTTTAGCGTGAATTAAGAGAGGAAGACAGAGTATACAGAGATTACCTTCAGCAACAGATGGCAGAGGAAGCAAGAAGAGAAAAAGAGATTGATCAAATGATTGATGAAGAAGTCCGTAAACAGTGGCAGAAAAGACTCGACCAATGGGCCAAAGAAAGAGTTGCACGTAAACAACTGATGGAAAATGTGCTTAAGGTTAGACACCAGCAAGTCCAAGAACGATGTAAGTGGGATACATTACCTTATTACACGTCTATTCATTCTATTATTATTTATATTACTTACGATAAAAAAAATTATTCAAATGAAATATCTGTTTGAGACATCTGACTAAAGGAGATTCAGGTCGAGCAGCTTATGTGATTCCACCCTTTGTTCTGATGTAGTTCTTTTTATACAATAGTACTGTAATGGTTGTTTCATTTTTATGCAGACCTCTCAAGTACTACAGAACTTCCGTAGTTAGGCCTATCTTCTACAGATATTTTTCCTAATTAGTGAAGTATAGAAATAAACAAAAATACTAAAGAATTTATCATAGGCCTAAACCCATAAATAAATTATTGTGAAAACTAAGAAAAAGTGGCCCGTAAATTTTCATCTTGTCCAATTTGTTTGAAATTTCACATTGAATTACAGACAATCGGGCCCAGGATATTAGGCCCATTTTCAGGACGATCAGACCCAATTTGAAAGTCAGCCCAATCGTCATGAAAAGTGACCCATAAATCTTTATACGATACAATACGATACTCCTTTATTGTCATTTTAACAATATGGTAATAATGAAATTAGTGTTAATTGATCCGATAGGCAAAAACAGTGCAATTCAGAAATATAAAAAGATCCTGCCCAGTTTGATTAAAATTCCGCAGATTCCAGCAATTTGAGCTACTTATATCTTGCACTCAAGGCAAATTACCGTATTAGGTGCAACATAATTTTTAAAGACATAGTTACGGAAATGCATTTTACACACTTGAGAAGTCTGATTATGCTACTTACGTTATACGGTTGAAATGATAAATGGATGAATTTGAAATCACCTTTATGTCAGGAAGTCTAGCCTGTCTAATTGGAGCAAGGCATTATTATTCTCCGTAGATTATTTTTAAATTGTGATTTTTTTTTTTTTAATTTAGTGGCTGCAAATTCTGAAGCCCAAAAGGCTGCGCAGGCTGAACGTGAATCCATGCAAGCTGCGATGGCAGAGCACAAACGTCTGGAAAAAGAGCACATTGCCAACATCCGTCACCAGAATCTAAAATACCAACAAGACCTCCTAGATCAAGCTGAATACATCAATTGTCAGAGAGAGATAGAGAAGGATGAAGACTATAGACATTACCTTAAGGGAATCGAGGCAGAGGCTAACTATCAAGCAAAACTAAAAGAGGCCCTCGCAAGGCCAGTAGTAGACAAAGCCCATCCGATGAGACGGGCTTACATGGAACGAATGAGTGCAAAAGTACGAGAAGATAGATTATAGTTCTATTTTAAATATCAATTTTAACATTTTGTAAATTATTGTAAATACTTTCTTTAGCTGATTATTATTACTATAATTATATACTTAATCAAATTGTGAAGTACAAAATTCTTGCATAAATATGTACTGTAGAACATAAATATTTGTTTCAAATCAATTTATTTGCTTTTGAAAAAAATAAATATTTGAATGGTAAGATGGATTACTACTTCAGTGTATGCATTATACAGCATGACATAGGGTTCTTTTGAGAATATAAACTTTTAAAAAGGCATGTCTTGTAAAACATACTAGTAGAGATGTGCACAGCATACCATAAGAATACTAGGAGTCAATTTTAAGCTGCCTTTTATATTTTAAATTAAATGTGCTGGCTTCTTGTACATTAAGTCACCTTGTGACTATGACAATAAGTTTATCTTATCCTACTTGCCTGTCAGTGTGGGCACTGAATTTAAATTTTCCTTATTCATAAATTTTATTTTACACAGAATGTTCTTAAAAATAATTCATAACTGGCACAGTGTATTGTCCAAATCCCAGCCACATTACTGTTAGTAAATCTGTTATAACACTACTTATCTTCTCAAAGCTTTCCTCTTATATAACATATGCCCAATTTTATATGTGAAGCAAACCCCACCCATGTTACTACAACTTGTATGCCATTTGTCATTAAAAGAAGTAGAAATCTTGTTAAGTCTCTGTTGAATGATTGCCAGAAATGATAGTACTGTCACCATGTTGGAGCTAATTTGTAGGAATGTTTTTTTATTGAATGTGGGACAACAAAAATGGAGAAGAGTTGTGAAAATGAGCATTGTACACTGTAATTACAATAGAGCTTTGTAATTCAGACAGTGGTAAGACCTGGGACCAGTAGACATAATGACGTCGCATGATGTTATGTATTTGCGCATGTGAAGACTGAATTCGGGTTCTCTGAAATAATTGGATTGGACTACTGCTACAGTACTACTACTGCTGTTGTTGCTACTGCTGCTGCTACTAGTTTAGTGCTACCACAACTAATAATACTACATCATTACATAGAGTACTACAGTGTTTCGTCATGATACCATGTGATACTACTCCGTTGCTATCGTTGCAAAAAGCGTTCAACTGGACACCATTTTCTTCACTTCACTTTAATGGTAAAATATTAGGTTTTAAAATGGCTATTCCAGAAAGCCTATGAAGTCATTCAGACGTAATGAACGTAACAAACGTCTGTTGACAACAGAGAGCGCCACCTGGCGTCGTGACGACTGTGGTACTCTATAGCAATACAGGACCACTTTTGAGACCGGGTTTCTCATGGTCTGGGTCCGGGTCTTTCATGGTCCGGGTCCGGGTTTTTCATGGTCCTTAACAGCTTTGGTTCCTAATTAGAATAATAAAGATAAAAGACATTTGTTAATATGGCACTACAGAAAAAAAAATAGTCTTTAATTGGAAGGGTCTTTAATTAGAGCGAGAATGCTATTATTACTGTAAGTGCCGCAGCTCCAATTTTTGGAGGCATCTGTGCAATGGTTATTTGAGGCTGTTATCAGAGAGTGGGACTTATTTCAAACTACTGGAGTAATACAATGTTACTCTGTGTTGTACCAGGGTTGTCGCCAGAGGTGGGGGCTGGGGGGCTATAGCCCCCCCCCCC